AAAATAATACTTTCATAGTGAATATTACTTAAACAATTTTTTGAAGATAATAATTTTTTTCAAATATAAGTTTTACTATTTAACCCATAGCTGGGTGGAGAAGGATTCATACCTTTTGCAAGTGTATTTACATGGGAATGTAATGAACTTGACTGAAATTCTAACTTGACTCTCCAATTTCTCATTCCAAACCACTATCTATTATATCACCTGCACATCTATGTATATCTAAAATAAGTACAACAATGAATTTATAATGACAGGCAGATACAAATCTTGAAAAATCATTTTGTCAATAATTCTGCTATAAAACTTTTTTCCGCCTTATTTCATATTTATCTACAACAATATTTATGATTCTATCCTGAGAGAAGCAATCATAGATCAATTAATATAATTCTAAACTTTCATTTAAATGTAAATGTTTTAGAATACCAAGTAAACTTATATAAATACTCAAGGTTTTTGTATGAGGATATAGATTGTTAATATATATTTAAAATGGATATAACATGTAACTTGAATAGAAAATAATGGTATAATCAAGATGTTGACATTCCCCATTACTTCATATAAAAGGTTAAGAAAGAAACCCCCATCAATATTGGAAAGAGTGATAACAGCTACTTCACTTCATTTCACCGAAAAAATGTTTTAAGAGAAAGATTCTATAAATTTTAACTGAAAGCAGTTCTGGCTGCTCAGTCAATGAATGTTGAATGTTTCCTTATAAAGAAACAGCTAATATTACCCTTATCATTGAAACTTAGAATTAAATACTTAGAAACAATATCTTTTTGTGTCTGTTTACCATTCACTGTTCAATTATTGATCTCCAAAGGAGATCATTTATTTGAGTTTATGTTCTTTCTTGTTATTTTCTATCTTTGAAATGCATAAAATATTACTTAGTCATTAATGAAATTTAAAATGATGGCAAAAAATTATTTAATCACAATGTTAACAATTTTCTAGTATCCTAAGAATATATTCATGTACTTGAAAGTTATTGGATTATTCTTAATCAAAATAATAATAAATAATACAATCAAATATAAATACAATACTTTCAAGGTTAAACTGACATTTGTATATCAATGACAAAATGTAGCTATAGTATTAACTTTTGAATAAGTCTTTCAAATTTCTGACATTGTAAGAAAAATGCAATGATGGAACATGTGTAATCGTCTTAAAATAACTCATGTGAAATAATCTGTATAGATAAAAGCTGTTCATTAAAATTAAAAATCAAAAATGCCTCAATCTATTAGGTGTGTGCAAAAGTTTCCAGAATATCCACTTTTTGGAAACTAGAAACTGAATACATAGTATAGAACCATTTTTTAAGAATAAAATGCTGAAAACATTTACACACACCTAATAAATTTAAATTTTTATGCAGACTTAATAAATTTAAATTTTGATTAGTGTGATTTATATTGATACTTATTTTTTTATTATATTTATAATTGTAACATGTTCCAGTTTGGTTGGAGTCTTTCCTAGTAATGTATGCTGACAATATTTTTTAACATTTTAACTGCTGCTTTGTTATAATATTTGTTGATTGGCATTGTTGGCCCATTTGAGGAAAATAGGAAAATGCTGTTTACTTGAAATAAATGACTATAAAGATGCTGACTATGATTTGTCATGGGCAACGCCATTTTGGTTTTGATCAAATACTCTGCAAACTAAGCTAAATTACACCCCCAACACACAATATAATAAAAATACATCACAAAACAGGTTGTATTGTACACTAGCTATAGCGGTTTAATAATAGCACTAATTAGCTTATAACACTAGTGCTAGGGATTGATATTTTCAGTATCTTGTAAACACATACACATACACATACACACACACATATATATATATATATATATATATATATAAATAAAAAGAAAGAACAGTAATATATATAATCCGGTGTTCTTATAGATGTTTTTATTTTTACAAAATAGTGCTCAATGTAAATTTACAGAGCATTAATATTATAAATTAATTGATTTAAAATATGTTTTTTTCAGCTACACAGTTCTAACCATGTTTCAAAAATAGAAGCTAAAAGCCCCGAATTTAATTTTGCAATTAAATTAAAAGCATTAGTTCCATTTCATCCTCAAGCGAATTTTGGAGTAACTTTTAAAAAATTACTGGGTTTTAAAGACACAGCTAAAATAATGTTTCCATGGTTACAGAATATTCTACTTCAATTGGACAAGGGATGTCTAGGTTTTCCTTATGACAGTATCATTGTATCAGTTATTAGCTACAATTTGGTAAGGGGGAGGGATGTATTTTTCAATGAAAATTGACATCCATTGAATGCATGTCGTCTGGATTTTTTTAAAAAAAATTGTTAACGGAAAAAAAATTCTTACGTCATTTTTTTCCATTTATTTAAATTTAAAGATTCGGGGGGTGTTCAGATCATAATACTTTTTATTTAACTACGATTTGAAATATTCTCATTTTAATTTTTATTATACTATATTTTTTTTAAGAACAGTTAAAATGTATTAGAATCCATTATATTATGTAGGATTATTTTAACATCAAGTTTAAGTTTGTATATGAGGTGTCATTTTTTTTTTTTTTTTTATAAAAAATTTATGACTATGACGGCAAAAATGGTTACTTAATTTCACTGATTTAGTAAACTTTTTTTATTTTATATATAAACCTAGTAATATATTGTTTCTCATGTAAGTACAAAGGACATGGGTCATTCAAAAGCTTACATCTTATGGCATTTCATATTAATTTTATTTTTACTATAGGTGTTTTTTATTGGATTCTTTTAAGTGATTTATGTAGTACTAATTAACCATAAAAAGAAGTTTAGGTTAGAATTCATTTTATTTAACTACAATTTTAATTACAATTTTAAAATTACAACTTTAAAATTTTAAAATATTTTCATTGTTAGTTTTAATAGACTATATTACTTTTATAACAGAAGGAAAATTACTCATAGTAAGTAAAAATTATTTTTCCATATCAAAGTATATGTAAATTACGTTTTTTTAAACTTTTTATAATTAAATATTATTTAAGTAATATTTATGGCACTTACTAAAAAACTAGCTAAGTCATTTTTAGTAAACTTTATTAATTAATTATTTATTTTAAATATATATAACCTAAGTGATAAAGTTTCATATGTATTTAAAAAAGAACATGGGGGTCGTACGTTTTATTTACATCATCTAAATTTTTTGTTATAATTTCATTTTTCAGTAGGTGTTTTTTATTGGATTCATTTAAGTGTCTGTAGTACATTTATTATAGAGGTGTTTTGGTTAGCATACATTTTATTTAACTACAATTTTAAAAAAATTTTTTAGGTTTTAAATTTGTTTTAACTACAATTTTAAATTTTATTTATTTCCAAATTTTTTATCTTAATTTTTTCCATTGTCTAAACTTTTTTTGGTTTTGGTAGTAAAGTTTTTTTTTAAGATATTAGCATTATGGTTCTTAATGATCTTTTTCTAATTTTTTTGTACAGCTATAATAAACAATTTTAGTGTGTTTTTTATTGAAAATAGTACTTAGTTTACTTTTCTTTCGGACAATACTTGACTATTAATGCGAGGAATTTATGTCCTAATTTGTTCTTTTACCATTTGGTTATATGGGGAGTATACCAAATAATCTTTCTACATCTGTTTTTTTCATATGCTTTATTTTTCATTTTTTATATAAGTTAGTTTTGGGTTTTTGTAGCCACTTTCTTTTAGAGCCTTATTATAGGAATTGATATGCTCATCAAAAATCTTATCATTTTCTGAATTTGTACTAATTCGTTTACTGATAGATAACGGTATATGTTTAATTATAGATGGTGGGGTGATTTGATTTAGGATGTATATATAAAGGATTGGTGTTGGGTTTTTTATAAGGTGTGTATGTATTTTTATTTAGATCTAATGTTATATCTAGGAAGTCTACTTTTTTTAATTTTGTACTAACCGTAATTTTTAAGCCCATGCTTTTAAATTCTTTATATAATAACTTTCTAATTCTATCTATTTTGAAGTTCGTTGATTTTCTAATAACCATAAGCCCATCGTCTCTGTACAAACCAATATCATTTGTATTAATATCATAGTGCGCTGTAAGGTTGTATAATATAAAAAGGCCAGTGAGATCAGAAGACTCAGCTGAGTCTAGTGATCCCATTGTGATGTCAAATTGGTCATAAGAATTCTTAATCCATTCCTCACCTTTATGTATAAGTACTGATTTTTTTGCATACAGAATAATATTCCTTTCCTCATCTGTTATATCCGTATAGTGGGTGGCAAAGTCCAACGCATTGATAAATAGTTCTTTGGAAATTGATTGGTAATAATTATCAATATCAAATTGTATTAATGTACAATTGTTTTTTCCTTTTAAGTGAGTAAACCAGTTTATCACTTCCTTGGTATTAATCCAAAGTTTGAGGCTAATTTTTTCTTTAATTTGTTTATTTACCCTTTCAAGGATCATTTTACTTATTTTTCCTATCTCCGGTCTTGTGGGATTAATTATCCTTGTAGTGGGATTAGCCTCAAAATCTGGTTTATGGTCCTTTAAGGTGATGTCGCATTCTTTTTGGTATAGTTGACCTACTCTATCACTGATCATTAGTTTATCAGTGATTTCCTTACTGCTAGTATTGATATCCCGAACTATGTTGAGGTCATTGTTATTCGCTTTCTTGTAGTTCTTATTCAAGTCCTTATTTATTAGGTCATTGTATTCCTTTATGGATGTTTTATAAAAGTTACACACAAACACACATCAACAGCAGGCAATATAAGTTTTATAAATATGTATAAATATGACCACAACAGCAGAAGTGTTAAGTGTCAGCCCTGATGATTAAGGAGTATTTAGTCATGAAAACACTTTATTATATAAAAAACTAAACCTATAATAAAACATCCAAAAAAATTATAGGAAGATTCAAACTTTGCTTACACATTTGCTATGGTACTTACTTCTTTCTCATTCTGGCAATCTTGAGTGGCAACATCACAACGAACTTTCCAATGGTTTCTCTCAAGTGTAGTCTCATCAACAGCTTTCTTGGCTGCTTCTATTTCTGTGAAATACAAAATATACTTTCAGTCTGTAAAAAAGGAAAAGCTGGTTAATTACATACTATTCTTATTCTTAATATTTACCAAACATGAATCTGGTTCAATAAATTTAATCTTAAACTGATATAATTTTAAGAAAAAATGCATAGCTGTCAGGTAACCCCTCCTGTGTTCCAAATTTGAAATTTCTTACTGTCTCCATATAAGTAAGATTTATAGCAGTAAGTATGTTAAATGATATGAATTCATGTATTAACAAAGTGCAGTATTGCTGAAGTTAATTGAGCCAAGAAATATTTTTTCAAAAAAAGTGTTATTTTTAAATATTAGAAAAATTCACAAGCAATTTTGATAAATTTTAGCATTTTTAAAAATTGGCTTGTTTATATGATTGACTTTTCATAACCACCTAATATGATTAAAGAAAGATTTATGTGGGCAATTTTTAAAAACAGTATCTAATAACACTTAAAATTTCTGTTGCAAAAACTTCTTCCAAAATAAAGTATACAGTTTGGAGCAATAATTTTTTTTCTTTAATGTGAATCACTCCAAGCAAGGCAGTAATGCCACTAAAACAAAAAGGGTTACAGGGTGTGGAAAAATTAGGAAAAGAAATATTAATGATGAGCAGAAAGAGAAGAGAGCAGTCAGGTGGACAATAGATAGTGATTACTATTGCATTTAAATTTTTGCAGATTAAAATTGGCTGGAAAGCAAGGAGCTGGAAGGGAGTTCCACAAGTGAGAAGTGTGGGAGAAGAAACTGTTAGCACAGAATTTATGGCTACATTTAGCCAGCTCAACTGTAAATTAATGAGATCTTGACACCAGTCTAGTGCTGTGTTTAAATTCAAAAACTCTAGGTACCATAGCAAAAAGCTCATCCAAATAATTACCATGAAAGTATTTATAGAAAAAACAGAGAGGCAACCTTACATTGGTGCAAAAGTAACTGAAACTGAACTGCCAGATCAAGGCCAATAATGTTGCAGATTCTTCTTTGGATCTTATCAAGGAGCTCAAGGTAAATAGCAGGGGCACTGAACCATATGTGGCAACAATATTCTAAGCATAGACAAATGGTAGACTGATAAAATGAAACCAAAGATTCTATCTGATAAAAATAACTAAAAATATGAACTCTGTCAAATCACAAATATATTCAATTATTCTTGTACATAGAATTTCTATTACAAAATGTAATACACAGAACAATATCTAGCACATAAAATCAAGATAGCTTAATATAAATTTTACTGAATAAATTGCAGTAGTTTTGATTCTATTTTGAACATTTTAGTAAAGTTGGTTCTATTTTTTTCAAATATTACTTACCACTCAATACCTTTTTCATTGTATCATTATGCAAAAATTTAGTGTATATTTGTATATTTTATATGTATGTCTGGATATCACAGCCAAAGAGAAAATCCCAGGAATTATTTTTTTTATATTTTACAAGGCCTCAAGTAATAGCATAAGCTATGTAAGGCTGACCCTGAAAATTGTAAAGATAACAAGAGGTTATGAAAGAGAATTACATGCCATTTCTAGCCAAATGAAGCAATTTATACAAAAGAGATCAAGTTTGTTATGTTGACATGAAGACTTAACATATGTTGTGTAAGGTTGATGTCATTCAAGTTCCTCCAAGGTCATCAAAATGCACAACATACTATTTCTAATCATAAAAAGTTTGTATTGCAGCAAAACAATTATATTCTTGGAGATAAACTGGCATGTGGAGGTAACATGGGTAGACAAAAATGAAAGGGTAAATGGTGCTGACCTCTGAAACCACCAGAGGTCAATTTGGGACTAAAATAGCTTCTTTTTTTTCAATCATACAAAAGAACTTAAAAAACAAAATATTTTCCTGTTTTGTTTATAAAACTGTACAGACCTGAAAAACATATTCAAACTTAAATTCTAAAATGTTCAAGATGAAAATGAATTTTTTTCAGTTGCTTGAAATTTAAAAGATGGTCCCAAACTACAGGAACTATGATGCAATTGAAAAAATAAGCTGATATTACAGATTCAGCTATACAAGTTAAATAACATAGTTCCAGGCACTTCACCCAAATGGGTTCCTCAATTATCTTGAGCAGCATGCTGTTCCTCCCCACAGACTTCAACTAAGAGCTGGATTGCCCATCATACTTCTCAGAAATCTCAACTTTCCAAAGTTGTGCAGTAAAACTTCCATAGCATTCAAAAAAATTCTCTCACATGTTAACAATGTAACTATCTTTACTGGGATGAACAAAAAGGAGGATGCATTCATTTCCAGGATACTCATAATTTAAAAAAAAAATTGCGCTCTGGATTCCCAGTGAGGCTCAGCTTTGTTATGACCATTTGTATATATGATAATCTCTGATGATCTCATCTTGATTCCTCCATGCTTTTCCCATAGCCAAGTTTTTTAGATTTCCAAACAATCTATACAGACTGGAAGAAGCACATATGTCATGTACCAAAGAAGCCCTGTCGAATGTAAAGGTTTGCTTTATTTGTTTTGTTTTAGAAATCAGAATATGTATTCACTATCATCAATTTTCACATATTGAAAAGAACATAATGTTTTTTTTTCGTTTATTGTGTTTTATAATATGCAAAAGATTTTTTCTGTGTTATTATATTTGAAATTATTTTATATCCTCAGACAATGTCTGGTATCCCTACTATTATAGTATATTCATAAATTTAGTCTTGTTGAAAAGCAAAAATAATAATCTTTATAGTAGCATAATTTTTTTTCAATCAGTAGTTCAGAAGCTATCTCAATTTATGTTCCATTGTGAATATTTTTGTGATATACAAATCTGTAAACAAAATGTACATAGAGAGAAAGAATCCCTATTTGTCATAATAACATTTTAAGAAAAGAGTAAAGGAAAATTTTCTATTTTGAACAATATTACATGCTAAAGTATTTAAAAATACTTATTGAATTGCACATATAATTCTTCATTTTTCATGCTAAATACTGATAAAATGATTCATATTTGTAAATTTTGCAATTTTCACGATGTTAATAATTTAACTTAATTTAAGCAAATAAATTAACTATATTGCATTTGCAAATATTTACTTACACCATACATTTCAACAGGAAATTATGTAAAGAAGTTGTTCTTCCGTATTTCCTATGACCCTTATTTTAAATATTATATTTTTAGCATTGGAATTGCCTTTAAGAACCAAAATTTGTTTACAAATTTATTTAAATGAATTCTATAATTATTTTTTGCATGAAGTGGCACTTTATTCAATATTTAGTTATTGTTTGTCCCATTTTGTCAAACACCTGCTAAAATAAGTGGTACTCATTAAGCAATACTACTTACAACACAAGTTTTTCATTAAATTTTATGTCGAAATAGCATTTTCAAGCAAAGGAAAAAATTTTGGTATTTATAACTAGTATTTCATTTAAACATTACCCTACAATAACAATGATGTACTTATAAGATGTTTATTAAAGTTACAGAAATATTTATTTTCTATGAATTTATGATTAGAGGTTACAACTTGTGAAACTGCTTTTTGTAATGAACAAAGAAATTAAACGACTATATTTGGACAAATTAGAGGAAACAAAATGTGACAAATATTATAAATTATTACATTAACTTTGGTACTTTTCCTTAGTGGACTAACTTTTCACTTGGTTACATTATTAGTCTAATATCATAGCACATTGTAAAAGGAAAAATTACCAAAATACAAATGAAATTTGAAAATATTTGAAAATGTAAATTTTATTAAAATACCTAATGTATTAAAATGTCTTACAAATATAAGTGATTATTAACTTTTAAATAACTCTCCAAAAAATCAATGAAATTATAAAGCTTTAAATATTATTTTTTCATGTGTTGTCATTTAAATCCTTATCTTTCTGTAATTAATCTTCCAAGCTCACATATTACAGGTCAGATTTAATATTTAATAATTGGTTATAACTTTATCTTCTTTTATATGCCATATCCTTTCAGGATGTGGGCAATCATGGCTCTCCATAACTTCCAGTCTTTTGTTGTTCTAAGTAACTGTTGCTCCTTTACCACCCCACTTTCTCTTTGTGCACCTTGTTCTACCATCCACTTACTCAGACTTGTCAAGTAGGGTACACAATGTTTCTCCCTGCTTTTCTTGCCTTCAAAACAGGTGATCATGGCTTTTTACAACTTCCTGTTTTCTTTATTTCTCTAAGTCACTTTTGCCCTATTATCATCCCTCTTTGTCCTTTTTTGTCAACCATTCATTCAAAATTGTTAAATAGATTATTTACTGTTCTTCATGCTTTTCTTACCTTCAGTATGTTCTGTGAGTGTTAAATTCTTCAAGCCTTCTTTTCTTATTATAATGTTCAAAAAATTTCAGCTGTTTCCTTTTGATCATTAACAGCAGTTCCTATTCTCCTTAAAACATAGCAGTTCAGTATTCTTTTCTTTTTTTTTTTTTTTTTGTTTTTTGTAAGGACATCTGTCAATTCCTTATTACTTTAATCAATTTCTAAAAGGTATATTTTGATATTGCTATGTACCATTAAATTTCTGTGTCACATTTTTCATTGTCTGTTACTATCCTATCAAGAGAGTTAAATTTCCAAAAATGCTTGATTTTGACATGCCCAAAACATAACTAGCAACACACATTTTATCTTACTTATGACCATTCATTCTACCCTCTTACAATTAATGCTTAGTCCTTTCTTCTTACTTTTCTCAGCTACATTAGTATATTAGTTTTTTTTTTCACTTTTTCTTTTGAATCTGCCATCAACATAGTATCACCTGCATTGCATATGTTGTTATAGTTATGTTAGTTGATGATAAAACCTGATAGGCCCTTAGAATTGTTTTATTGTACAGGTTAAATAAATCCAGTTAGAAAATGCATCTTTGTTGTACTTCGTTTTATATTTTTGTATATTCACTAAACTCATTCACTATTCAAATGCAAGATGTTTGTTCCCAGTAGAGGTTATG